TTACGCAGCTCATTTACACACTTTTCCTGAAGATAGAAGAGTTTGTTGAATCTGACGTGACATGTTCGTACGAAGCCTTTGTACGAACAAAAGTAAGAGAAATTTAGGATAAGAAAACGAACATGTTCTTGCATGAGGCCCAATGTCCTGAAGGAGCTGAACATTTTGATATATGAATTGTTAAAACAGAACGCTTGTGAAACGTTCACACTATTACAGACTGATGAGACAAAACTGAGGCACAGGATATACAACTCTCAAACACGTCTCTTTAAAATGCAAAGAACTGAAAACAGAATGAATATCAGTTATTTAAAAGAGAAAAAAATAGTTCCCATGAGAATCCAAATCTGTAAAATATCATTTCTGCAGAGCAAGTCAAAGAACTGACGGCATCGGGGGATAAAAAAAATAGAAGATGAAATAAAAACCAAGGCGTCTGCCGTCACCTCGCTCACGTCGACCGGCTGGGTGAAGATCCGGGCCTGGTCTTTGGCCTGGAGCTGGTCCAGGAGAACTCGGAGCAAAATACTAAATGGAGTCAACTGCATCTCCATGAGGGTCTCCTGCAGTTTAATCTACAACACATCAAAGAAAATCAAAACAATCATGTGAATTTSTCACGAGGGTTGTAACTCCGTGGTGGGTGTCCTGCTGCTTCACCCACCTCCTCCCTCTTTAGCTTCTCTCGCTTGCGAATGAGTTCCAGCAGAAGTCGAGCTCGCTCCAGGTCGTGTCGGAGGCGGTGCCACTCCTTCAGCTGCTCCTTTAAAGTCCTGCTTTCCTCCTCTTTCTGCCTCTGAGGAGAACATTTAAAAGGAAAGTGTTTCGTCACTGATTTTACAAAAAAACGACAAACAGTATAAACAGCCTAAACTTTGAGGACTATACAGATATTTATGCGATGTTTTTAAACACGATAAGCTTGTAAAGACAGTCAGCAGACAGATGGACATACAGGCTGTGTGTTCTTCTGCGCCTGCAGGCTTGTCTGTAGGCGTCTGATGAGAGGCACGCCGTTCCTCGACTGCCTTTTCAACGTCCAGTAATTGAGGACCAGCTCCACGAAGGCTTTCTTCTTCTGTATGGACACCTGGTTCAAAATGGTTTGTAACCTAGAGGGGAGAGAAGTGTTGGAAAAGAAGAACCAGCTGCTAAAAAAGGATTTATATTACACCGACAAACAGAAAGAAAATGTTGCTAATGTCGATAAACATGATGCTAGCTTTTCTATGGATTTTTCACGATTAAGTTAGCATCTATGCTAACAGGAAATGAGCACCCAGTTATTAACACTATTGGGATTTAAACACACGCTACTGTGAACTTTTTATCAAAGATTAAAGCTATTTATGTAAAAAGGTTGTTATTTCAATTTGTAAATTTGTGTTTTGGATAAAGAGCTAACCAGCTTATTCCTGGTCTTTTCTCACAAGCCTCGCCATGACAGAAAGTCACAATTCAAGTGTTTATAATTATACAGCAGCCGTTAGAATCGGAGGCAAATCAAACAGTTATTTTTATACACGGTGACGTGATTATGAAGGTTTATGGAGTATTCYGTTTACGCGCAATGGTGACATCTASTGGTTAAAAGGAGAAAACACTGGTCTTATTGGCTGGTGCTTTGTTTACACTTAATTTGTGTTGATTTAATTTGTTTATAAGCACGGCTTTWAAAGCAGGATTCAACGTAAGTGCAAACAATTGGTTTTTATTTTGATTGTATTTTTAGTTAACTGTTTCAAAAGTGTGCCTTTTGGTAAGACTGTAGTTGTACAAATATTTGTGCAATATCACATAATAAAAAGTCATATTTCAACTTCCCTGTAAACTTTAATCTTTTTTTTTAATGAAGCACTGGCAGGCGGGCAGCAAGCCTGGCCCCACCTACCACCGGGATTAGCCTCTTTTCTGGGGGGAAACCCTGTAAACCCCATGCTGTTTTAAAGGATAATTTATTGTCATTTCAACCCCTAAATGCCATGAGAATATATATTTTTATTAAGTTTATTATGTTTGTTTTATTAGTTCATTGTTCTCCATGCATTTTTTAAAATAAAACACCAAATAAACATTTTAGTAAAAATTTTTTGAGGACCCCCAAGATACCTCTCACGGACCCCTGGGCTGTTTGAGAACCTCTGGCCTAAAAGCTCTCAAACAACCGTCCCGATCATGGCGCAGCTGGTGTTTGTACCTGTGAGCAGGAAAAGAAGGAACAGCAGCAGGAACCGCAGCTTCACTTTCATCCTCTGGTTCCRGTTTTTTGTTTTTACTTTTCTTTTTCGGCTTCCCTTTCGCCCGCCCTTTATCCTCCCCGCCTTCTTTATCCGCCCTCTTACAAAGTCCGTTCTTTGGTTTGGGCTCGTCGTAGATGGGGAACGGTCTCCTCACGCACCCGTTGGGCGTGTGWGCTCCACAGTAGGCCGTCTTTTTCACAGAGAGGGTGGGCTCGCCCGTGTCCGTCACCTCGTTGATGGGCTCCATCTTCATGAAGAGGCCGGCCTTTTGGGCGCAGCTGACGTGGAAGGCGGTGTAACAGTTGGCTTTGTGGCACTGGATGCACGCTCCCACGCCCTTCTCCYTGCAGATGTAGCAGGTGAGCTTCCAGCGGGCCGGGGGGATCTGGCTGACGCCGTCGATGGGCTCGATGAAGGTGGCGTTGGAGAAGCCGACCTCCGGGACCCAGAGGGCGCACACCACGTGGCCCCAGCGCTCGTCGTCGGTCTTCTTCACCGCCCCGCCCCTGTTGGGACAGAGGACGCAGTCGGCCGGCTGGCTCGGCGCCTGGAGGCAGTGTCTGCAGAGCCACTGGCCCTCCGGGGCGTAGGGCACGCCGTAGCACTCCTGATGCACGGCGACGCTGCAGACGTCGCAGAACAGGATGGTGTTGCTTCGGTGGCAGTCTCCGCCCGTGCAGATGCAGCAAACGGCGTCCTCGTCGATRGGAGCCTGAGTTTCACTCGCCTGGTCCAGACTCTCCAGGTGCAGCTCCTTTTCGAAGCGGTCGATGAGGAACTCGAAGACGTTGTGAGACACCTGACTCATCCCCTCACTTCTACGTCTGTCGTTTACTAAATCCAACCAGGCGTAGTCTTCCTCATCCATGTCGTATTCCGTCTCCTCGTCTAGCTCCTCCTCGGTCTTCTCGATGAATTTAAAAAAGGCAGCCGGGCGCTTTGGAACTGCCGGCAGGTTGTATTCAACGTTGCGAAATTTCGGCTCTGGAAGCTTCGGGACAACGTGGGTGCTGGCGTGATGCCCGCCTCCTTGTCCGTGACTGCTGACGCCCAGCGCTGCGTTCCTCCTCTCCTGGTTGTTTTTCAGCCTGGCCGACCGCTGCCGCACCTGCAGCTGAGGCTTCTCGGCGTTCTCCTTGTTGCTTTTGCTCTCCATCATCTCCCGAACCGACGGGTCGGCGTCCGAGACGACGTCCAGCTTGTCGTAGATGCTGAGCCGGTGGATGTGGCCGTCCAGCTCGAACTCGACCATGCGCTGCGCCTGGGCGTAGGTCAGGATCTGCTTGTTGGGGGAAGGCTTGATGGGAGAGGGCGACCTCTGAGGCACCGCCACCCGGTGCTGCCGAGCTTTCTTCTTCATCTTGGCGCTCCGTGTTGCTGCGAAGAAAAAGAAGAAAAAGGGAAGAGCAGAAATTTTGTGAGTGTAAAGTAAGAAACTATACTGTACACATCAACAGAGAAGGTTAGAGCATGAGTTTGCCTCTTTTTGATGATTTATTACCTAAAAATGAAAACTACAATATAAAAAGTGTTTTGGCAACAATAATATGAGTTAAAATATAAGGAAACTGTAATGGCTGAGGAAACAATGAAAATTTTATGCAAAAATAAACATTGTAGAGTACAAGCAGGCATGCAAGGAGGAGATACATGCAACTGGTTATGTGTAAAAAGGTAAATAACTCAATTCAAACCGGAAACATTTGCATTTTCTGCAAAAATGCAACATGAAAAAAAAAAGTGAGCATGTATGAAGGGATGTTGACATGTCGTCAGCAGCCGCTGCCATTTTCTTCCCAAACTGCTGTGACCAGATTTTGCTGCTCGGTGCGTTTGCTTATTTCCTCCTGCTTCGTTATTCCTACGAGTTTCAACAAACTGTGCTGACGTCAGTCAGGTAGTTAGCTACAGCCTCGTCTTTAGTTTTTAATTTTTGTCGATGCGTTTTGAACAGACATTTTTTTGAAAATGGGATCAAAGTAAATCACAGAGTTTTTCTTGTGAGCCCTTACAAACTCATTTTTCTACCAGAGACTGTCAAATGGCAGTGCTGGGGGGGTAATTTGCAACCCCTTAGGCCTTCTTTTGTTATGTACATGCAGCCACTTCCAGGTAATGCTAAACRGGGGTTATGGGTGATGGTGTGAACGATGTTGTTCCATTGACTCAGGTGGAAAAGAAAAAAAAAATTGATTTTAACCCATCCTGATACGTAAAGATTGCTCAAAAAAATTTAATTTGATCTTAATTTGAGTCATAAAAAAGGTTTGCCAATGGGGTGAGTCATTTTGACTTAAAACAAGACAAAATGTCCTGATAAGATTCTTTTACTTAGGTTTTTATGGAAGTTAAAGTAAAAATTTATTTTTTTTCAAGTAGCTGAGGGTTGTTTTTGTATAAATTTATGTAAA